GGAGCCCTCCTGCTTGAGACAAAAATGTGTGAGCCAGAGGCTAAAAAGCTGTGGGAGCTGGCTCACACTGACTCAGCTTAGAGGGAACACTGGTCCTCACCAAGGCTCCCTCTCAGCGGTGGAGTCCTGTGAGCGAAAATTCTCCTTGGTGAGCTCCTGGCATTAATGTTGTGAGCCAGCGACTGGGCTCCTGCATCAATCAGTTTGCTCTCTGGAGCCCCATCCCTTCCTGAGCTGAGACAAAAACGTGTGAGCCAGAGGCTAAAAAAACGGTGTCCTGGCTCACACCACCTCAGCTTAGAGGGAACGCTGCCCCTGTCTCTCTTCCCCCCCCCCCCCAGTTAAGCACCAAAGCGCCCCCCGGCAACGACCAAAGATCCCCCCCCCCCCGCCGCCCCATCCTGCCAGGCACACAATCACGTCACTCTACCTCCCCCCACCCAAGACACACACACGCACGCGCGCCACCCACCCACTCACTTCTTGTTGTAGAGTTCCTCCAGGCGGTGCCACACGGCGGGCTGGCCAGGCCCCGAGCTCTGGCTCTGCTGTAAGAAACCCGGTACGTCCTTCATCGCCGAGCCGGGCTGGAAGGGGCGGGCGGGGGTCGCCGGAAGGAACGCGCGCGGCTACTCGGCACCGCAACAGCAGCAGGAAGCCGGGCCGCCCTGCCGCCGGAAGTGCACACTCACTTCCCTCGCCTGCAGCGCGCGGGGCATGCCGGGTACCGTGTGGTTCCCGCCTGGCGCAGCATCGCCCCGCCCCCACCCCTCGAGAGAGAGAGAGAGAGAGCGAGAGAGAGAGAGCGGCCCGCCGCTCCGGGGAGGAAGGGGAGGAGGCTGGCCGGTCGCCATGAGAACGGAGGCCTGGGACATCCGGGAAGGCCTGAACTTTGGAACGGAGCCCCACGCGGCCCTCTGGCGCTCCCTGCGGGTGTTGCCAGGCCTTAATCCGTTCAGCAGTTCGAGACCCGAGTGTGCCGCATGACGGAGTGAGCTCCCGTCTCTGGCCCCAGCTCCTGCCAACCTAGCAGTTCGAAAGCAAGACATTGCAAGTAGATAAATAGGTACCACTTCGGTGGGAAGGTCACAGCGTTCCGTGCGCCTCGGTGTTTAGTCATGCCGGCCACATGACCACGGAAACGTCTTCGGACAGCGCTGGCTCTTCGGCTTGGAAACGGAGATAGATGAGCACCGCAACCCTAGAGTCGGACTCGACTGGCCTTCGAGCAAGGGAGACCTTTACCTTTAAAACCGGAGTTCAGCATCTTAACCACTTGAGCCACCGCAGCTCTGTTCTCTATGTACTCCTCCCCAAAGGTCAGTGTCAGAGCAGCCTGTGGTGGTGTTTTTGCAGGTGTGGATGATGTCAAACCACAGCCGTTAGACCCATTGTGCTCAAATACTTCTGGATACTTCTGGATCGGGACTATAAAGGGTACACTTCAAGTACACATCACAGTGGTCTGAACTTGGAGGCCTGCTTGACCTTTGGGGAGCTGACGGATGAATACCTGCATTGTGGCAAGCGGTCGGAATAAATGAACTTCTTAGTCCCATGTCAAAATGCCCACGCCCCCCTCCCCAAGCTCCAGGAGTGAGGGCCTAGATCCAACTGTTACACATCCCTGGTTGCTTTTGCAGGCAAAAGGTCCTGTTTGGTCCTGGTTTCCAACTTTTTAGTGGCATCTGTGGAGGACTGCCAATTCTGGGTTGGGAGATTCCTGGAGGGTGGAGGGAGAGGGCGGGGTTTGGGAAGGGGAGGGACCTCGGCGGAAAACGATGCCATCCAGTCCACCCTCTGAAGCAGCCATTTTCTCCAGGGGAACCAATCTTTGTTGGATGGAGATCACCAGGCTTCGTGTGAAGGTTGGCAAGCCTATTCGTTAGCCACCGAGACCCAAAAGAAAGCAATCTACGCATGCTGCTGCTTTGCTAAGTATAACTGGTGATGAACATGTCTCTATAAAAGTTGACATGTGTCAGAGAATTCAGTCTTCTGCAGCTTAAAAACGTGACATGCGAGAAGCATTGACACACCTCGGGAAAGGGACTTTTCCTCATTGAGGAGTCAAGTTTTACCAAGGAGTTAAGTTCTGAATGTAATACGAAGCCATAGTTCTAGCACAATTACGGCAACCAGAGACCAAATAGTGCAATAATAGAAATGATTCCGTTTTCCCCACGGCATCGGCAGACTAAGAAAGTCTCACCAGTTTGGTGTAGTGGTTAAGTGCGTGGACTCCAATCTGGGAGAACCGGGTTTGATTCCCCACTCCTCCACTTGCAGCTGCTGGATGACCTTAGGCAAGCCACAGTTCTGTCAGAGCTGTTCTCTCAAGGACAGTTCTGGAAAGAGCTCTCAGCCCCGCCTACCTCACAGGGTGTCTGTAGTGGGAAGGGGAAGGGTATGTAAGCCGCTCTGAGTCTAGGGCAGGGTATAAATCTCTTCTTTGTCACTGGTTCCGAACTATTTCATTATAATGCTGTTCCGCTGCGTTTCACTTTGTGCTGCTTTTTACGAGTTCAGCAACTATAAAGAAAAGAGAAAAACTTCAAGAGTTGATTTTTTTTTTTAGTGTAAACTCAGAGTGGTTAGTTTATTAGGAACATTACGGCAAAGAGCTTTTCAGAGCGTTTCAGCTGTTCTGCTCCCTGGATCAAGATCACTTGAAAGCAAACAGAGCAGTGCTTTGCTCTCTGCTCCGGCACTTACTCGCCAACCTTTAGTGAAGGGGGTGGGAGACGGGATGATGACAGCCCCGAGCCTACCCCTGCCGGCGGAACTGTTTGCTCACCCGGGGCGGTAAAGGGAAAGTCAACTGAATAGACCTTGGGAGTCTTCTCTTGATTTTTTTTGTTCTGTGCTGCAGGGCTCAGCAACTGACGGAGGAAATGAACTGGAGGTTACATTTTAGTGTCTCCGCAGGAAGGCATCTATTTCGTTCTGCAAATTTTCAGAGATTCGTAGGTAAGAAAGGTCTGAAAAGATGGATGCAGGGGAGTGGGAGGGAGGGTGTTCAGAGCTGTACTGAAAAGCTGAGAGGTGCTTGAGGAGCCCTGTGTGGATTAGTTTACTGCAGGAAGAAAGCTGGGTATCGGAAGCTGACTGACACAGCAGGCAAGCCATGGGTTCTTTTCTCCCAGCAATGCCTTTGGCTGGCAGAGGTCTTCCCCAACACTTCCTATCCTGCATTCTTGGGCTGAAGGTGTTTGAAACTGAATGTGTGGCTTTTCATGAAAACCATGCACACTCTGCGCCCCCCCCCATTAGTCTTGTTTCCTTCCAGCAAGCTCTTACTCATTGTATGTAGAATATGAGCACGCACGGTGGTTTATGATTCCAACTCATCCAGTAAGCAACTACATGTGAAACAAGTTAAATTTAACTTATGGCTTTCCCTTTTCCCCTTTATTTATTTAAAATATTTATATACCATTTTTTGACAAATGCTCAATGTGGTTTCCAGATGTACAGATACAAATATAAGCATTAGAAACAACAATATTGTCAACAATAGGTTCAGAGCAACCAACAGCACAACCTTAGGTAAATTTCCAAAAACCCTTTAAAATAAAGGCCCCTCCGCCCCCCCGCTCTTCAGCCACTTAAGGTATTTGAAGTGGACTGTAAACCTGTCTTTTAGGTAAAGATCTGTTCTCATGTCTTTTTCGGAACACTGACAAGCATACGGGCTCAGTGATGAGCATACGGACCATGTAAAACTTGAGTTAATTAGGTTTAAGTGGTTTTCCATTTCTCTGCAGAAACTCTTAACCAGACATATCAAGATTGTGTTTGAAAGTGATCATTATGTCTTACTCTAGGATGGAGGAATCTCTGGATCTGCACTCGACAGCTTCATTACAGAAGCTGCTCTGCTTCTACAGCTTGCAGAAATTTAGTTTCATTGGGATCTGTCTTCCAGGCTCCAAACAGAATTTTTTTGCTGCAGAGGCCTCCAGAAACCAACACAGAAAAGCTGGCAATCATATCTGGAGAGAGGTATGGTCTAATTTGTTGTGCACTTTCTTGTCAGTCTGGCATTGAGTTCCGGTATCTCCTTCTCAAAACAAGTCTGGGCTTTATTTTTGTGGACCCGTCTACAGTGCCCCATAAGAATGCAAAAAACTGTCTTGCTAGATTGAACCAAGGCCCTGCATTCTGTTTCCAGTGAAGACCAATCAGATGACTCTCCAGTTTGACAAGTAGTGCATAAAGGTGATGCCCCTCACCAGAGTTGGTACACAGAGGTATAGTTCTTTTGACTGTGGAATTTCCACTGTGCTATTTTTGCTGACAACTGTTGATAGATGTAACTTTCATAATCTAGAATGGACTCTGTCTAAACCCATAGCATTGACAACTGATCATATATACAACACTTTAAAAGTATCTCCCTTTCAAAATCCTTTATTCCATCTCTCCCTTACCAATCCTCTTTAAACTTTCAACACTAAAATAACCATATAGCAATTGTTCTTTCTTTCTACTCCATTCACAGACACTCTCTCCTACCCTGTTTCTCCAGTTCAGTTTTCTTCTCTCTCCATTTCGCCAAAGGCTTTATCACATGGCCTTATCACATGTCATTCATGTCATTATCTTCGGCATCTCCAAATCTGAATAACTACTGAGAGCGTATGCCCCATAAGCAAGTAACTCTTAAACAAAATACAGGTTCTGTGTTTTCGGTTGAATATTGCTGGCAGAAGCCCTTCTGCCACATAGCTTGCCATAGAAGGAGGTGAGATGTTGAATGTGGTGGTCACAATGGTGCTATAGGAACAAGAGCAATCTCTCTGGGAAAGGCCAAAAGGCTTGTATTAATTAGGTTCCCCAGCTAGAGAATCAAAAGTCATTAAGTGTCTTTATCACCCCATCAGTAAGAACTGTTGCCAGTAGGAAGACTTGGGCCGCGTTCACATGACAAATTTGCCGTGGGAGAGCCACGATTGAATGGCAGAGTTTCCGGGTGCAATCACACCGCAACATCTGGCAAGTGGAGTGTACCCGTGGCCAACCCGTGGCATACTGCCAAAAATGCGGAGTCAAAAAATACCTGGACGAAGGTAGTAGCGACCGGTTTGCCACAGGCTGCCTCCGGAATGCATCGGTGTGATCGCACCGGTGTGCCGCTTTTCCCTCCAGCCCCTTGTTGACGCGGATGGAAGGAACCATGGCATGCCGCCAATGCGTGGGATCACGTTATGGCGCGTTAAATTGCGGTGCCGCCAATAGCCACGCCTCCCCCCCCCGGTGTTATCCGGCCCGTGTGACCGGGGCTATAGAATTATAGAATGTTAGAGTTGGAAGGGACCTTGCAGATAATCTAGTCCAACCCACTGCACTCTGCAGGAGCACAGCTGAGAGATAGCCCTACAACATATCCGAAAGATGGTCATCCAGCCTCTGAAATATTCAATCCACCACACTGACAGCTTCTGCGTGGGGTAGTTCCCTGTTTTAGTCTGATTTTTGCAGTGGCACTGGACCTGCTACACAGAGGTTTTCTCTTTGCTTTTCCCTGGCCCCGGTCACACTGGCAGGAAAATGCGGGGGGGGGGGAGCGTGGCTGTTTGCTCCGGAGCAAAATAACGCACGGCTGCTCGATCGGACGTCTTGTAGAGGTCCCGTCAAGGTCCCATGGTTAGGGGGAAGGTGCCGATCACAGGACAATACTGCGGCGCGGCAAAGAAGCAGCCTCTGTAGCAGAAGGTTCCGCGGGATTAACCCCTTCCAGGGCTGCAGAGGAATGCAAACTGTGTCCTCCGTCCGGTCACCTCCAGGAGGAGCTTCAGCCGGGCTGCCCTCCCGCCACGCCCCCCCTGCACCTCCCCCTCTGCCGCCCGGTGCAGAGACTTCCTCTCGAGCAAGCCGAGCCAGGAGTGGGGGGGTACGGAAAAGAGGAGGGGGCTGTGTTGTTTGTTTTTAAACGAAATGTGTGCATGCGCCATTGGGTGCTTGTGCGCATCCTGTGGAAACTTGGGGGGAAAAACCTTTTATCGACGGGGCATGGGCGGGCGCTGGATGCCACGACCTACCACCGGAAACGCGATCAGGCACTCGCCCTTGCCCCAAGGTTTCCAGAAACTAGTACCTCAGAGGTACTAGTTTTTTACCCCGCATCTTCGGCGGGAAGCCTCAGGTTTGGCATGGGAGCTCTACACTTCCCAGATGCGGTGCTGTGATCGCGCTCGGAAAATCCGCCTATCTTCCGTCTCTGTAGCGTGGCTAATGCTCCGTGTGACCGCAGCCCCTCACTTTGTCTTTGCTTTCCACCCACTTCTTGCCTCCAGTAGGCCTTTTGCCTTTAAAAAAAAAATTGGTTGAAGGAACATCATCATAGCGTTAGGACACTGTGGTAATATGTCTACTTGTTGCTGTTGTTCAGTCGCACAGTCGAGTCCGACTCTTCGCGACCCCATGGATCATCTCCCGCCAGGCCCTCCTGTCTTAATATGTCTACTACTGATAAACAAATGGTGGATGGCGCACCATCTTGCCCACACTTTCCCCTCTTTCAGGA